TCCCTGCCTGCACCCTGCCTGCACCCTCCTGCCTGCACTCCTCCCTGACTGTACCCAGCTCTGCCTGTACCAGTCCCTGCCTGCACCCTGCCTGCCTGCACCCAATCCTGCCTACACCCTGCCTGCACCCAGTCCTGCCTGCACCCAGCCCTGCCTGCACCCCATCCCATCCTGCACCCAGCCCTCCCTGCCTGCACCCTCCTGCCTGCACCCTCCTGCCTGCACCCAGTCCCTGCCTGCACCCCATCCCTGCCTGCACCTAATCCTGCACCCCATCCCTGCCTGCACCCTCCCTGCCTGCACCCAGCCCTGCCTGCACCCCATCCCTGCCTGCACCTAATCCTGCACCCCATCCCTGCCTGCACCCTCCCTGCCTGCACCCAGCCCTGCCTGCACCCCATCCCTGCCTGCACCTAATCCTGCACCCCATCCCTGCCTGCACCCTCCCTGCCTGCACCCAGCCCTGCCTGCACCCCATCCCTGCCTGCACCTAATCCTGCACCCCATCCCTGCCTGCACCCTCCCTGCCTGCACCCAGCCCTGCCTGCACCCCATCCCTGCCTGCACCTAATCCTGCACCCCATCCCTGCCTGCACCCTCCCTGCCTGCACCCAGCCCTGCCTGCACCCCATCCCTGCCTGCACCTAATCCTGCACCCCATCCCTGCCTGCACCCTCCCTGCCTGCACCCAGCCCTGCCTGCACCCCATCCCTGCCTGCACCTAATCCTGCACCCCATCCCTGCCTGCACCCTCCCTGCCTGCACCCAGCCCTGCCTGCACCCCATCCCTGCCTGCACCTAATCCTGCACCCCATCCCTGCCTGCACCCTCCCTGCCTGCACCCAGCCCTGCCTGCACCCCATCCCTGCCTGCACCTAATCCTGCACCCCATCCCTGCCTGCACCCTCCCTGCCTGCACCCAATCCTGCAGCCCGTCTCTGCCTGCACCCAATCCTGCCTGCACCCAGTCCCTGCCCGCACCCAGCTCTGCTTCCACCCGTCTCTGCCTAAACCCCGGCCCTGCCTGCACCCAGCCCTGCCTGCACCCCCCCGACGGTTTAGGCTGGGGGGGGAGGGTGAAGCTGGGGCTGGAAGGGGTGGCAAAGGGGCCGGAGGTGGCTGTGAAGCGGCCGAGGGG